TTGGAACTAGATGATCTTTGAGGTCCCTTCCAACTCTAACCATTCTATGATTCTATGAATTTATGGAGAGTTCAGTGAAATATTATTTGAAGCTCTGACTTCCCATGATCAACGTCCAGTCTGATGTTAATGTATGTTTTACAAAGAAAAGAAGAAAGTTAATAGGGCAGCAATGGGTGGAACGAGTAGCTGTGAGTAACTGGATACTTCTTGTATGCTGAATTAGATGTAGTCTTTGCCTTTCAGATCTGTGATTAAACTGAGCATCTCATGCACAATGCCCATTTATGTTGTGGGATCTGTCCTGAGCTCTGTTCTAGTTTTGTTGTAATTGAGTTAATGTAATAGAAATAATTGTTAATTTTTCTCTGCTCCTGGCTTTAATTGCATGGCAGAGTAAGCCTGCCTGTGGCGTGCCCGTAGCATGTGCCTGGCTTTCTGTTGTTATGTTTTAAGAATTTTGTTTGATAACTTTGTGTTGCAGATGGATTTCTTGATAGTGGAAGGTACTCCTGTGTTCTCTGTGCTTTGCCATTTATTCAGTGTAGTTGTTGAAACACCTTCTTAATTCTTTATTTAACATAATAATCTTCTTAATTCTTTTACTTATTGCTTTCTTCAAAACTAATTTTAAATTACGTAAATTGTTTAAACCAATAAATGATATTAACTTAATGTTTGCATCTGTAGGAGATTGAGCCTAAGACAAAATTTCAGGCTCAATGCCAGCCTTGGTTTTTTTGCCTTGGACCTTTCAAACTCTTGTTGTCTGCATCTTAAATCGTTCTCGAAAGTATCAAACAATGAGCGTTATTTGCAAGTCTCCAGGAAATACACACATCCTTTTTTTCAGCCTGTAAACAAAGTCAAAATTGGGGAAAATTTGAACTGTTCCAGGAAACAGGCCTCCTTGTTTGTTAGTGACCTCATTCTTTGCATGTGCTCTCCAAATGCGCTCCACCCCTACCCCTTCAAGTCATTTTGTTAAGCCTTATTGAAGTTTTCAGTCTGATTTTGGCTATTCTTCAACAACAAACTTCACAGAGTGTGGCCCAATTTTGGGGGGGCTTTGATAGTGCAAGTCAGGACTAATGGGAACATACCAGGTTTTAATCAGTATAAAAGAGCATCTAAGATAGAGCTTTGACTGTGTTAAATCCATTTACAAACATCTTTGGCTCGGTCAAGGTTATACTGACTGTTTCATGAAACGTAGCACCATTTTCCTTTAGATGAGTGACACAGAGAAAAATGTGAAAACATTCAAATATGGACTTTCTAGCTGAACCTGTTCTCTGCACGTGCCCTCCATCTGACTTTAGGCAGGGGTGGGAAGAAAATCTTCCAGTGAAATCTGGATTTTTCATTCATTAGCTGTTAGAGCTGAGTTTGGACTGTGAATTTTCTGAAATCTTTCTGTTATCACAGTTGCTGGTAAATCTGTGTTACCAGGTTCTTACTGTTGGTTTTAAGGTGTGTGTTTGCTGTATGTCATCAAACTCGGGGGTGCCTGCTTATTTAGTCAATTCATGATTATTTTCACAAAAACAGATATTTTAAAAGCAGATCTAAGCTAACAAGACTTAAGACGATTTTGCTAAATGCAAGTTCATAAGACTGAAAGGAAAAAGGAGTCTGATCAGCTGTTTTAGAGAAGGCAACTTAAGATCTCATCCATTATCAGTCACTAAATTAAATTCACAGTTCTCTGAAGGATCATTAAGAATCACAGCATAGTTCAGGTTGGAAGGAATGTCTAGAGGCCGTCTAGTCTACCCTCCTGCTCAGAGGGACCTACTAGGTAAGGTTGCTTAGGGCTTTCTCCTGTTGAGTTTTGAGTATCTCCAAGGATGGAGACTCCGCAGCCTCTCAGGCCCTCCCATTTCAGTATTTGACCAGCCTCATGATTGAAATAGTTTTGCCTTGTAAGTGATGGGAATTCCCTGTCTTGCAGCCTTGCTTCTTGTCCTGTGCATCTGAAAGACAAGTCTGGATCCTTTTTCTCTGTACCATCTCGTTTGGTACTTGGAGGCAGCAACAGAGTCTCCCCATAACTGTTTTTTCTTAGGTCTGATATAACCCAACCAGTGTCACTACAATACATTTAAACATTCTTATTTGTTCGAATGTTAGATGCTCATCTGTTCTTGAAAGTTTATTTTTAAACAAAGTTGAAACCTTGTTTTTAAACAAGGTTTGTTTCTTGCTCTGTGCTTTTGTCTCAGACTGTTCATGGTGTTGTATGCAATACCTGTATGAGTATGGAAAATTTCTCAGCAAATCCAATATACCGTGCATCTTCCTTTGCCCTTCAGTAATTACATTTGTGCAGCAGCAAAATCGCCATTGCTAGTGGTGGTATTAATTTCTTACCTTTTAAGTTCTTTTCATTCACTTTTCTTACTTGAAGTTTCCCATGCTAAACGTTGATGTTACTCTTTTTTCTGAATGAAAAGCCGGTGCCTTTTAGAAGTCAAATATACCAACCTCAGAGGATGCTGTCAATGAAATATATTCTTGCAAGCTGAAACGTGAGTTTGTATCGTGGTATTTAAGAGGCAGCATTTCACTGAGGCAATAGTCTGTCTTGTTCTTAACATGAGCGTTCAAGATTGAAACATAAAAGGGTCAGTTCCTGCTTCATGGAAGTATGTAGGTTGGATCATAGTGTGGTGATGTGGAGCAAGCTACTTGCAACCATGGATCCCCTCCAAAGGCATTTGTTTTGTGTTCCCTTGGCTATAAAGAAATCCTGAGCTGAGGCAGATGGTGAGGCAAAACTAAGAGTTCAGCATTTCTGATTTTCTTATCTCAGCTTGTCTTTTAAACTAGTTTTGAAAGGGGTAATTTGGCTAGCGCTTCATAAGAGCGCTTACTGATGCTTTAGGCCATAAAAACACTTCCTCCAAACTAGGTACAAATGAGAACTATTGATGCCTGAGTTAGAGGCTTGAGGTTACCGGCCTCTATGCAGGTGTGACTCAGTTTAGCAGAAAGATTAGTCTTGTAGGATAGCCAAGCTAGCGAGAGTGTTAAGAAGACAGAGTATGTTGAGCACGGAGCTTCGGTCAGGATTGTGGCCACGTGTTTAGGAGCTCTTTCTTCACAGAAACACCTGAGTGAGTTTGCTTAATAGGGCTTTCTGAATCCCTTCCCCCTCTGAATTGTATTCAGGATGTTTAATGTCTCTGTGAGTCTGTCTCTTCTCGTTTTAAATTGGAGTGGTTATGAATCATCTGATTTCCGGCTGCAAATAAACCAGAAAAATCCTGAAGTAATTGCATGACTGGCGTTAACACAGCTTTGCGTGGAGGAAGCACAGCAACATTAGCAGTCAGAAGTGATGTACTGGAGCCTGATGAATGTTGTTGTTAGGTGTTCTTCTGAACAGCAAAAATACTTCCTGCAGTCATTTAGGTGGGTATGGCTTAAGCTGTGAGCAGCATCGTGTTCAGATGAAAGGGGGCTACGAAAATCTGTAGTGGTTCACTAATTGGATAACACTGTGTTCTCACCCCTCCTTAACTATGGTTTTGATAGTAAGAAAGGCTGCAAATGGAGGCAAACATGCAGAAATCTTGTGGTTCTTGCCGTTGATAGTGTTGTCGAGGTAGAAAGAAAATGGCTGGAAGACCACAGCCATGGCCTCAGAGTAGCTGCTGGAAGAAGTGTAGGGAGTGTTGCTGTGCACACCCCAAAGCTGGAACAAGTTAACTGTGGGTGGAAGGAGGGTACTGAATGCCTGGGAAGTGTCTGTGGCAATGCTGTGTGTTAGGTGTGAGAGAGTCTGGACAGCTTTATTTTGCTGTTAGGGTAGTGCTTAGACTCCTTCATCTGTGTCTCGTTAGATGTGCTGTGTACTAGATTCTGCAGTAGAAGGAAAACTTGTTCCACCAAAATACACTATTAGCCTACAAATTTACTGGAATAATGGCATACTACCCTTAAAAACGTTAAAGAGTGTTTTTACTTAAATCCCCCTTGGAAGTTTATACTGCTTTCTTATTCTCTGTTTGGTGAATTTTGAAGGAACTGGGATGTTTCTGAAGTGCTGTTTCCTCACTGAGGAGAGTCTTAGCTCCCATCAAGGGGTGCAAAGTAAGCTGAGTGGCAGTGGGGACAATTTCTATTTCTGATTTGAATTACACTCCTTTCTATTTAAAGACAACATGAATCACTGCTTTTTGTCTTCACCCTGAAAAATGTTTCTCCATCCACCCACCTGTTTGGACACTGTAAGAGCTAATACTTCAAGATAGACAAATATTTGTGTAGTACAGCAGCTTGAAATGCAGCGGCCAGAAGTGTCTTTGAAGGAAGAAACACAAAAGAATATGAACCAAAATTACTGTAGGAGATCTAAGGCTTCACTTTTATTTTAGAAGTGGTTTATGAGGCTAAATGAAGTCTGTTGTGACAGTAGGCTGTAAAGGTGTTGTATTTGCTATTGACCTATCTCTTGGGAATCTTAGAAAGCTGTGAAAATACTGAACAGAAGAGTCCAGTTGTAGTAAACACATGTCCTGTTCTCCATGCATTGAATTGCAAATGGATACAGCTCCCTTCTACCAAAAAACCTAACCTTTAGATAATTTGGCAGGTCATACAATGTATGATATGCAGCAGTGGGTATTAGTATGTGCTTAATGAACAACGTATGTTCTCTTTGAATTTCAGGGTGATTCATCTGGAAGCTCCCATGATTCAGTCCAGTCAAGGAGAGTGGTCATTTCTCACAACATGGATAAAGCACTGAAAGAAGGTGAGTCTTAACTTGGACGAAGGAGCATTAGACTCTGAATATCTCTTGTCCTTTTAGCAAACTATGACTGCACAATATTCCAGGATTTTAGAATATGACCCTGGTTTCTTCCTTGATATAAAAGTTCAACGTCTTGGTCTTCCCAAAGGTCTGCTGCAGTAAGTAATGTGATATAGTTTTTGCAATTTAACTGATACCTTGTCATAAAATGTGAAAAAAATGTGTGTAAACGACTGTTTTTTATAGATGTGTTAAAATAGAGTCCTTAATACTTGTGCACAAAACAAAAGGGTAGGATTTCGAAGATTCTTGGTTGGGTTTTCCTGAACTGATAGATCCTTTAGACTCCTGCAAACAGTCTTCCTGTTTAGTGCAATTCTCACCATGAAAACTGAATCTAAAATCAACATTTGTATTTCTGGCTGATATAGTCTATGAAATCAGTGGCTCACCAGTACAGTCACTGGGCTTTAGATTGTAAAATGTGGACTGTGATCGTATGGATTTCAAATATCTTGTTTACAATTCTTTAAAATAAAGAGTAACTGCTACTACTGCACACATTTTTTCAACTAACTCCTGGTAATACAAAATATTGTAGAACTTGGGATAGTGTCAGAGTTTCAAGGAAAAAGTTTTTGATTTGTTACTTCAAAGATTATGCTAGGTTGGAACTTAAAGATGATTTGGAGCGAAAAACCTAGCTTGTATATTGAAAGAAGAAACCACAGAGAGTTGTGTGCTGTAGCTTTTAAAATACATTTATAAAATTTGATGCCATTTCAGTCTTTTGTAAATATTTTATCGAATTTTGAGTATTTTTTTCATTTAAAATTTCTGTGCAGCACTGTCTTTTTTCCTTATCTTTTTTTACATCTGAAGAGTATATTTTAAAATTAACATTGCTTTAAACAGGTTGGTTGTCAAATGAAAACTTCTTGGGATGTGTGATGTTTTTAAAGTTATTTTTAGAAATAACTGTTAGCAGGATATGTAGCTAAAATATAAAATTAGAACACTTCACCACCTATGTCATGTTTCTGTGAAGGTGAACTATTAGAACGTATCATAATTTGGTTTTAGGCAGCATTTTCATTGTATGAAACAAGCACAGACAAGTTATTTGCTGTATTCTCACATGTGTACTTTACATTTTGGATAACCTGCCTTGGAATTTGAAATGAAGCCTTGATATAATCAGCACAAAATTGGAGGTAGTGGGGTTATCTAGAGACAGACAACAGGTATTGTGGAATACTGTGGGAAAGATAGTTGTGTTACACTTCCCTCCTGTTACTTGCAGATAGGAGTCTGAGAAAAATACAGGACCTGTCTTCATCTAAGGTATTCATGCAGCAGATAATTCAGTTGAATGCATGAGTCCATGCTTACTCAGTAAGGCTGAAAGAAAGTTGCCAATATTTAAGGGATTTCATTTTTCAGAGTTGAGGAACTTCTGTTGTGACAGCTTACTTGCCTTTCTGATATTTCTTTTCAGAGTAGCTTCTACTCTCCATTCTCACTCTGAATTTTGGACTGCAAACTTGTCAGATTTGGTTGTGTTTCTTCCAGACCTAAGTGACTAACTAAGCCAATTTCTCCTCCGTTATGTGATTTGACAAGGATGAGACTGTACTTTTCACTCTACCACATGTACACTTAAGCAAGCCTTTGTTTTTGGAAGGTGTCCGAGTCAACTTAAGTTTGAGATTCTGAATGCATCCAAAAAGAAACATTTTTACTTTTTTATTATAGTAAAATGATCAGTCTGAAAATAGACAGGGCACATTCCTTGCCCTGTGACAGTTCCAAACTTTGTAGTTGTATTGATATTATGCTTTTTTTTTTTTTACAAGTTCATGGTGAAATAAAACTTTATTACTAATGATATAAAAAAAATAGTGTCTGTATTTCTGTTTCATTAGTGCCATACTCTAATGCTAATCAATCTTACACTCATGAGGATTAAAATATTTGTAAATCCCAGGAAATTTTGCCAACTTCTTGCTGTCCGGATCTAACATGCAGTTCAACAAAATGCTTTAAAAAGTCTCATTCATTTAGTTAGGAGACTTCGAGTTCTCCTGAGGTTTTAATGTTGAGGACCAGTTCAGACTCCTACTGCTGCCTGAGGTTTTGAGTAAATGGTGTCAGATGATCACAGTTGATGGGGTTTCGCAGTGGTTTTTTAATCAGATTTCTATTTCCCTTTGTGTTACCTTAGAGATAGAAGGATAACATTTCTGGAGGAGCCAGCATCACCTGATTTCAGAAATGCTATTGCTGGTTATGAAGAGACAGCCCGTTGGTTAATACTGTTAGTTGCTAACTATCTTGCACCCCTCAAGATTTGCCTGTTAACTGTTAACTCATTCAGTCATGCCATGCTTTTACTGGTCTGTGTGGACTATTCGTTCTGGATTTAGAGTGGCTCTCCATTACTGCACCATTCCCTGAGATTCTGTGGTGTGTCTTGCTTGACAAGCTGTCACTTGCTTTACTGCATTTTTCCTGATGTTCTCGTCATAGTCTGTTAACGTAGTTGGAAGGATAGATATCAGTGAGCATCCTTAGTTTTAACTGAAGGAGTCATGCATGATTCCATTTCAACGATCAGTCTTACTTCAATAAACTTAAAAACATTGTGGTCTTAGATAGTTTTCCTGTGATGGTCGTAGGCTGGTAATAGTTGGCCATGTCTTGGATAGCTTCTCATCTTGCCAAAGCCAGTGTAACTGAGTTGTTGGGAATTTTCTTTCTACAATGTTGGTCGCTGAGTGCCACCAAAGAGGAGCTTCTGTTTACAGTGGTTTACAGCTCAGTTCTCAACTTCTTTCCTACTTCACACTGACAACAGAGTAGTACAAAATGACAGTGCTTCAGAGTGCTACTTCATTGTTAGTTATAGTGTACTTGCATAAGCTGGAGGTACAAGGTGAGGGAAAGCTGTGAATTAACTCTGCTACTGTGTGGTGTGTTTTATGAAATCTAAGTGCTCAAAATCAGAACGAGTGTAACATTATAAAAAGATTTTCCTTGTTGAACATGGCAGAAAGAGAAGGCCTTTACTTTTAAACCCGAGTCCCTGTTTCAGCTGGTAGTACTCGACTGACTAACACTGAAATGTATTTTTTCAGTATTTTTCATGTTTTTTCGTGGTAGATTGATTTCATTCTTGCCCTTCATTTATCTTACACAAAGACAAGATTACCAATTGTTACAAATACTTTTAGCCTTTTAGCATTTTCTGTTGCTTATCTGGTAACTTCATGTTTTCAGCCCATATCGTGTGGTAGTTTAGGAAGATGGCTCTTCAGAGAGACTGTGCTCAGTCAGACTTGTGCTGCTGTTGCGCAGTGTGCTGTTTGAGCTGAGGGCTGTAGGTGTCAGTGCGTTTATCTGATGTGTGTAGCTAGTCTCCCAGGAACTGAATTTCCATTTTTATTGCCACATATCCCGTGGTCTTTTTGTTATTCTTCACAGTCAGCCTTTGTCTCTACTGCTTTAGTAGTGCCAGGAAAATTGGTCTCCATATTACTTACCTGCTTTACTAGATCATTTATGAGTAAGTAAAACAGCATGGGCCATAGCACAAATCCCAGCAGAACTCCACTGGTGACATTGTTCTGCTGTGAAAATTGACTCTCTATTCATATGCTGTATTTCTTAGCTGTTGAAATATTTCATGCTAGAGAGCCATCTCCTCTTTCTTAGTGGCTTATTTTCCTTCAACCCTGTGTTGAGGTGACCTTGTTGGGGGAAGTATTTTGGGAATTTAATTAGATTCTTCCTGTGGATCAGATCTTGCCTCCTGTGTTCTTGTTGACTCAGAAGAACTCTGTTAGGGATGTAAGGCAGGACTTCCCTTTACAGAAGTTTTTTCCCAGTCTATCTCATTTCCCAACTTAAGATCCACACATTGACATTTAGGAAAAAAGTTTGCAGTAACTTCTGCCACTCTTCGAAAAGCTGTATATATTTTTTTTTCTCAAAGCTCTCAAAAAATGAGTTGTTTGTGTCCAAAATATGAGTAAGACTTAATTTGAATTCATGTTCTCTTGGCTACTGGGATTCAGGCACTTGGAGCCAGGAATTCTCCGCAAAGGGTACATGGGCAAAACTATGAAAACAGAAATTTGTCTGATTTTTTTTTTTTTTTTCAAACGCATTTTGTGGATCTTTTTAACACTTTATTTATTTTCCCTATTGTTTATATATTTTGAAATTTCCATGTTTTTTCTACACATTCATAATAGTTGTTAAATAAGCACATGTCAAGAAAATTGGAATAAACTAAACCAATGTGGAGTGAGAGACTGTCAGGGTATGATCCCTTTCGCACAGGGGCTGTCCTTACACGCACAATGATAACATCTAGTCTATTAAAGAAACATGTCGGTTTCATAGAGTTTGAATAATGTTGTAAAGTGCAAGTAAACCAAGGAATGCTGGTGTTTTTCCAAGCACAAACTTTAACAAGGGAACTGAAACCTATAAATCACTATTGCTAGTGACTGAAGCAGATTCCCAGTCACTGAAGTCTGAGCATTTACACAGCATTTTGCCAGCCTTTAACACCATGGTGTAAATAAAGATTTAATGGGCATGAGAAACTTCAATAAATAAAGATGATGTTAAGTATAAACCTCATCATCTTAGTTTGTGTTGTATAGCTATTAATTTGTATTGTATAGTATACCATAACAAAATCTAAAATATAGTAAGGAAATAATGCCTTTTATATCTTTAAATTTAAAATCAATGTCTTGGATACATTAGAGTTGCATATTCAGTGTATTTATGAGTTATTTATATAAGGGGCTTTAATATTTTAGTTTGTTTTTTTGAGGATGAAGATAACGTGCTTTTTTTTTTTTTTTTTTACCTGAATTGGCTTTTGGCAGAGGGGAAAAAGTAGTAGTTGTAACAAATAACTAAGCATTTAATATTTACTTCTATAGAACAGTTCTTTGCCAGGTACTTAACCACGGTATAGTCTGTCATCTTTTTCTGTTAAACTTTTATTGAAAGTATTTTTCTTCAAGTATACCTTATGAAAACCATATCCTGCACGTTAAATCTAGTGTTGTGGTAGCACAGTATTGTAATAGCCCTTCTTGGCTGTTTGGTGGTTTTCCAATGCAGGATCTTAACACCATTTATATTAATGTTGCATTTCTGTTTAACAGATTGTAATGCTTGCTGTTGTAGAATAACTCAAGCTGGTGTTGTAGCTATACCTTCTCTTCTGTTGCTCATATAGTCACAGGAGAGTTTTGGATTTGACCATAACGTAATGCAACAGTTTGGTCTCTTCAGCACTTTCAGGAAAGGATGTTTTATTCTTGTTTGATGTCTGTGTCCACGTTTGCATAGGGAAAGTATTTCTTGTCTGTTTTTCTATTGATGCTTTGAGAAAATGGGTAGGCATTTAGTCCTTGTTTTTCAGATTTCTATGTTATTTTTCATAAAGTAGGCTAATGAGTCTTAGCAGCATAAAGACTGTCTAATATGGAGCTCTGCAAATTGCAGATTTGAAGCCAGTCTGACCCACTGGCACTTGTGGTCC